ATATAAGTAAATAATATTATACTTATTATTAATAGTATATATATATATATATATATATATATATATATATAGTGTGAGTATAATGTTACATAATATTATATACTATATATTACATATATATTTTTTAAAACAATCATTTATGATACTGAATATCAAATATTAAATGACAGATTAATTAACTATTTTTTACAATGTTAAGTAGAAAAGAAAAAATTAAAAATAATAATAAAAAGTAAATGAATGAAAGATTCATTAATTATTTTAAGTAACTGTGGAATTTTTTACTTTCTGAAGAAAACAATATGCATTATGAAAATTGTAATAAGTATTATTATTATCATTAATTGCTTTGCTATCTAAATAATGGTATTTATTTTCATCTTTATTACATGTGATTAAGTTTAAAATGATACACATTTATGTTAAAAATGTAAATAAAACATGTTTAGAAAAACAAAAACAAAATTTGTATTCAAAAATTAAAAATATTGGAAGATGAATTAATTATTTTGAATAACTGACATTATCATGCCATCTCAATACATATTCATTATGAACGCATAATATTTAATATGTATTATTATTATCATCATTATTTGTATTGTTTTAAATAATCACATTAATTATCATCTGTTTTGGGCCACAAACCATGATACGCATTATGAAAGTAACATTGTTTATTCTTATTATCATGAATTGCTTTGCTACATAAATAATCACATTTATTTTCACATTTGCTCCGTGTGATAGTTAAGCTTAAAATACTACACATTTGTCATGTTAAAAATTAAGCCAAAAAATATTAAGTAAAAATAATTCTAGTCAAAACTATTATGGGTTTATAATAGCTATTGTGGATCATTTCATCAGAGTACAGAAATCATAATATTCCACAACAGCACAGACAGAATTAAAGTGTGATTGTAACTGCAATTAATACGGTTAATTTGGCATAAATGATTAATCAATATGAGGGATAATCACACCCCTTCTGGGCGGTTAATGATTCTCCAAACTATCAGTCTGATAAACAGCATTGCATCACAGGCAGAACTGTATTGATTTATTAGCTTTGCTTTTCAAGTGAAACTGTTCCTTTTCCTCATTGTGACGTTCTGTGATTTTAATGTGTCGATCTATCTGTCATTTAGTAACGCTGTTCAAGGCTGAGTCAAACATCTCATAGTAAATAACACGTTTACAGTATTTCAACAAGTTCTAACTCTTTCTGTGGCTGTTCACTGTCACCATGCGTTATCACACAGACAGACAGCTAATATTTGGTTTCTTTGAGACAGCAGGCAAAAATGTGACATCATCGTGACAGAAACATTGCGTAATAGTGATCTGAGAGAGCAGACGCCTCAGAACTACTGCTGGAGCTAGTGAATGAAGTTTCTCAACAGTAAAGGTAAGAGAAGAGCGTTTCTGATTGTAAATGGAGGGTTAAGTCGATATGTTGCTGCTGTTTCACTAACATACTTTTGTACTGGTTGTGTCAGTGTAGAGCTATTCAGTCGTGTAAAATCCTGCAACATGACACATCAGTACAAGAATATAAATCAAGAGAATGATTTTTTTAAATATATATTTTTTTCTAAAGCTGCTTTGAAAGAATGTCTCGTGAAAAGCACTAGACAAATACAATTTGAAAAAAAAGAAAAATAAAACAAAGAGCTTTTAGAACAATTGAGATTTTTTTTCCCATTATTTTCGTGACATTTTTGCACATATAAAACATATTTAATTAAATTAAATATATTTAAATTCTAAAAAATAACATAAAAAATGGGTGGGAAATGTGCTTTACTGTCATGAAAGTAACACATTAAACAAATTATATATAATAAATAAAACTGACTCAGACTGAAATCAAAAGACAAATCTCTTTGAAACAAAGTGTATTGTGAAAAGCAATATACAAATAAAATACGGGAAAAAAATAATACAATAAAAAAAGAAAATTATTTAACGAATAAAATGGGAAATGTGTGACGTGAAATGTGCTTTATCGTCATGAAAATAACAATAATAATTTTTTTTTTTTTTTTTTTTAATAATTAAACACATACACATTTTGTGTGTGTGTGTAAATATATATAACTTTAAAAAAATATTTCTTATGTTACAGTAATGGACAAAATTTGGGTTGGAAATGTGCTTTATTGTCATGATAATAATGCCAAAATGTAAAATAATTGTAATTCTCTTTATTCAAATATAATTTCCATTGCTTTTGTGGTGAAATAAAACTTTGATTTGATTTATGTATTCGTCATCTTTCAAGAGTAAAAAACTATTTTTATTCTATAAAAGGAAGGCCACAGATATTTTTTTGCATCTTTTTGATTAATAATTTACAACTATTGTGTGGTGATGATAGATCATCCAGACCTGCCTAATCAAGTTATTATGGTGTAAAGTAAGTGTTCTTGTATCTCATTTGCCACCAAAACATATAATAATATTACGTATGTAACGCCAGCGGCCATTGGAAAACCCATACCACTCAACATTTCAGTCGACGACTTCTGTGCAGTTTGTAGTTAATCTGAGCGAGTCAAAGAGGAAATCAGTCATCAACACCTTTCCAGTGTTTTTGGGCTGTTTATACAGTCTTCCTCTGATTCGACAATGCAGGTCAAGATAAGTCTCAACAAGTCGCAACTTCCTAAACCCAACAAAGACCTCTTAACAGACCTCGCTTGTTTTGATAGGTGTATTAGTTCACGCTTTCATTGTCTTTCCACAGAATGAGTGCAATTGATGCGTGTCAGTCGACAGATTGTTCAGGAGAAACAGTTGAGATCAGGCTTTCCTATGAACCAGCTGTGCCAGGAAACATGTCGCATCTTGCTGTGAGAAGTATCTGATCTGGATACGTGACTTACAGATGGAGTCAAACGAGGATCTGAGAGGAGGCCGTTGTTGGGTGGAGGATTTTAATGATCGTGTATTCAGAGGTTATAAATAGTAAAGGGTGCTCAGGACAGTCGTTTACATGCATATCTTCATGGCTTTAAAAGTTTATTACCGGCGTTTGCTAAGACAAAGATTACTGTTACTCATAGGGACTGTGATTTGATCAAACCTCTAACCTCTCTCTCTATGATCTATGTGAAATAGGGCTGCACAATTAATCGAATTTCTAATCGCGATTACAGTTATGGATGCCACAATTACGTAATCGTTCAAAGCGGCAATTAATCGTTCAAAGTCCACTTATGTTATTCTGCACGCTTAAGATATGTTTTTTCTTTCTACATGTTATCTTAAGGGTTTTCCCATTGTTTTAGTTTTAGTATAGCATTATAATACCATTCATGTTTGTACTTTTTTATAATTTAAAGAAGAAACCAATCCGATGTATAGTTGACATTTGAGGCTTAATACTATAGAAAAGCACTGAAGGTTTTTCAGTTAGAGTGTTTTCAGCTTGTTTATTTTCATATAAAAATACGGCATGCAGTTGCATCAAACAATGGTATAAACATCATTCAGTGTAAATTGTGATAATCGTGATTAATAATCACAATTACAATTTTAAGGGAATAATCAACTATTATGATTTTTGTCATAATCGTGCAGCTCTAATGTGAAATTGGTAATAAACAGTAAATAATTGAAACCAGACTCAACAGCACAACAGTCTCAAATCACTTTACTGAGCTTAAACCATCATCATCAGTTAATCAGTGTCCGTTAATGGTTTGAGTGATGTGTGTGACACACTGTGACATCACTCAACTAATTAATATAGAATAAAAAAAGATATAAAGAAACAGAATTCACATAGTTAGATTTTTTGTATAAATAAATAATATTGGCAAAACTACTTGTTTGGCAAGCAACAAAAACATTACTGCTGACCCCTGAAAATGAATAACTAATCCATTCTATCATCAAATTACATGGCGGGTTTTCAATTTTCAAAATGCTGAAAACATGCCATATTTACAGATTATGAATTATGGGACCAATTACAATATTATTAATTTCCCTGAGAGCAATGTAACTTACGCCTATTCACCATTTTATAATGATAGATTATTATAAATGACAATATTGACAATATCCCAGATTATGGGAAGCAAAAATACTGGAATACTCTCCACATACACAGCAATGCTAAGCTATCTAAAGTAGTCTAAAGTTGTTTCAACCCAACTTTGGGTCAAATATGGACTAACCCAGCTGTTGGGTTAATTTTTTTAATTACATTTTTAACCCAAAAGTTGGGTTAGTCCATATTTGACCCAAAGTTGGGTTTAAACAATCCAGCATTTTTTAGAGTGTATCTGTATTGATGCCTATTTGAGATATTTTTATTATTTATAAAAAATAAAAAACGTAAAAATACCATAATACACTCTAAAAAATGCTGGGTTAAATACAACCCAGTGCTGGGTAAAATAGGGACAAAGGGTCAAAACAGCCCAATTGCTGGGTTTGTCCCTATTTTACCCAGCACTGGGTTGTATTTAACCCAGCATTTTTTAGAGTGTATTGTTATTTTTTTAATGACACGATACATCAATATTTCTGTACAATACATTACTAGCACTAGAGGGCAGCATCACTACAACATGAGTTCAGCTTCACCTGTTCACCTGTCAATCAACCAAGCACTGATTATTACCGTCTGAACTGCGTTATAGGCCGCGTTCTACTGTTGTATAATGAGTTTTACAATCAAAGATCTCCTGAGGATAAAACAATCACATCTGGACCCAACATCCCAGCAAACACATTTACGTTGTGGCAATGTCTGTGCAATATAACATTACAACAGTAACTCAAACTGCTAGAGTAGCTCCCTCAATAGTGAACAAGAGAAAATGCGGAAATTATTACGAAGATTTCTTACCTTTGATTATAAATGTCGTAGAAACCATCTCAAGCATCACTCAAAATCAGCAGATTCCTCAGGTCACCAATGATTTATCATTTATTAATTTGACAGCGGTATTCATGACGTCGTTCCTGTTGATGACAGATTGACTCAAGGTATTTGTAGTCTCTGACAACAGCGTCTTATGTGGTATTGTAGTTGTCACTCGCCCAACTGTTATTATAAATATTTATTATTATTATTATTGTCAATCATTATTAGTTAAAAATAAATATATACGATTTTTTTCTTTCTTTTTTTTTAAAGAATATTATGGGATTTTTATAACATCATACACCTCTCCATCCAAGATTTGAGAAGAAAAAACACATTATTATTATATTGTTACATTCAATGAATATTATGGTATGCCGTAACAGCTATGATTAAATAATAATACATCTTGAAACAACAACAATAATAATAATAACAATACTTAAAACAGAATAAAAACATAACTATTGTTATTTATATATATATATATATATATATATATATATATATGTTAGTGCTGCGGTTCAGCTCATGAAATATGGGCGCAAAAACAAAAGTGTTGCATTTATAATTTTGTTCAGTGTATATACAGTATAAATACACACACATGAATGTATATATGTTTATATATTAAATATATTTATATATAATATAAAATATAATAACAAATATATACATGTAAATATTTTCAAAATATATACTGTATGTGTGTGTATTTACATATACATAATAAATATACACAGTGCACACACATATATTATATAAACAAACATCTTTATTTTGGATGTCAAGGTCAAGTTCAAGGTCAAGGTCAAGGTCAGTTTATTTATATAGCACATTTAAAAACAGCTAGTGTATGCCAAAGTGCTGTACATATACAAATAAAGTAAATATAGAGATTAAGAGAATAAAAAGAAATGACTCAAAAACACATAATCAATACAAAACACATTAACATACACAAACATACATTTCATCCAAAAGCCAAGGAATACAGATAAGTCTTCAGGTGGGATTTAAAAACAGGAAGGGAAGGCAGAGATGTAATGTCCAGAGGTATGCTGTTCCATAGTGATTGATTAATAAGCATTACTATAATATTGTTATATTTCATGAACATTATGTTAATACGTTATGTTAATATGTATACAATAAATATGTCTGGATGCATGGAAACCGCTCACAGGCAGTGTTTTCTGCAGGGTGTGTCTGACTCGGTGCTGCTTGCTGTGATTTACTTGTTTTCCATGGATGAATTTGCCAAGTTTTATTTCTGCTTGTCAGCTCTTATCTGCAGAAATTTCTGTGGGGAAATCACTGGATGGTTTCCATCATACATAACTTACCCATAACTTATGCGATATGTGCCCCTGTCCAAAAACGCTGTCTTTCACCTGCTAATATCAGCGGTGCAGGCCGGATCTCAGGTCAGACGGTCAGCTGTGGAGAGGAGTGTGTGCTGGGATGATGATGGTGTTTGCTGGTACAGCAGAAGTTCAGCGGTGGAGAGAGTCGATGTATGTGTGTGTGTGTGTGTGTGTGAGAGAGAGAGAGAGAGTGTGTGTGTGTGTGTGTGTGTGCGTGTGTGTGTGTGTGTGTGTGTGTGAGAGAGAGAGAGAGAGTGTGTGTGTGTGTGTGTGTGTGCGTGTGTGTGTGTGTGTGTGTGTGTGAGAGAGAGAGAGAGAGTGTGTGTGTGTGTGTGTGTGTGCGTGTGTGTGTGTGTGTGTGTGTGTGAGAGAGAGAGAGAGAGTGTGTGTGTGTGTGTGTGTGTGCGTGTGTGTGTGTGTGTGTGTGTGTGAGAGAGAGAGAGAGAGTGTGTGTGTGTGTGTGTGTGTGCGTGTGTGTGTGTGTGTGTGTGTGTGAGAGAGAGAGAGAGAGTGTGTGTGTGTGTGTGTGTGTGCGTGTGTGTGTGTGTGTGTGTGTGTGAGAGAGAGAGAGAGAGTGTGTGTGTGTGTGTGTGTGTGCGTGTGTGTGTGTGTGTGTGTGTGTGAGAGAGAGAGAGAGAGTGTGTGTGTGTGTGTGTGTGTGCGTGTGTGTGTGTGTGTGTGTGTGTGAGAGAGAGAGAGAGAGTGTGTGTGTGTGTGTGTGTGTGCGTGTGTGTGTGTGTGTGTGTGTGTGAGTGAGTGAGTGAGTGAGTGAGTGAGCGAGCGAGCGTGTGTGTGTGTGTGTCTGTGTGTGTGAGTGGAAACACACGTGGGCTGAGAAACTAACATGTTTCATACAGAGACCTCAGCTGAAGTCCAGCAGCATTACTCATGATCTCTGGAGAAAAGGCCCACTTCCCATATCTGCAGTGTCTTGTGATCAGTTTTGTGGGCTTCAGCATTTTTAAGATGCACAGGTTTCATTCCTGAGGCCTAGTATATACAGTTATTGGGTTAAAATGCTTCAACAGTGCAGTAAAACAATGTTCATAACCAAAGTCTCCATGCTTAATTTTCGTTTCACAATACAAAATACAAAACTGAAAAACTTTAATAATCCCATTATATTATTATAACAAATATACAATATTAATATAAATACTAAATATAAAAGAAAAAATTTTTATTTGATCATAAATAAATTATAAATTTAGTAAAAATATATCAATATAAATTACTATAACAAATACTAATATAACAAACTTTAAAAAGTTTTTATTTTGTTTATTTTTTAATCAACATAATATAATATAACATAAATATCAAATGAAGATAAATAGATAAAGTAGAATTAAAATAGAATAGAAAGTTCTAGAGTTACATTTATATATATATATATATATATATATATATATTAGTAATCAAAAATATAAAAAATAACTTTATTCACTTTTTATTTGTTCTTACCATTGTCTGTGCGTCATTGTTGAGAATTTTGTGGTTTGTGTTGTTGTGCAGACGTGTCGGTTGTGTTTTCTGAGTGTTTGGGTGTTGATGGTGCAGAGACTCAGATAAGCAGTATTATCAGTGAAAAACCCCTGCAGCCCCTCATTGCATATGCATGAGGAGGGCGTGGTCAAATAAGCCCAGGGCGGGGCCACTCATATAGGGCTCTATTGGGGTCTCCTGCAGCTGTTAAAGCAGAACTACATTAGTGCTCTTAGTGTTCAACAAGTGCTGCGTATGAGAGTCAGTAAGTATTTCACTTCTTTGTGAATTGTATGATAAATATATTATATTAATGACACAATTTTAAATATTTATATATTATATATTTATATATAATATAATTTTATTATTCAACAAGTGCTGCGTATGAGAGTCAGTAAGTATTTCACTTCACATTTTTATTTGAATTATTTGCCATGATTGTGAAACTCTTATGTCTCATTTGGTTACTGTGGATTTAAACTTATGAAATGCTATGAATGTTTGCTTTACAATATTGCATGATACATGGTGTGTATTCATTTTCAATTTTTTTTATTTTATGTAATTATAACTATGATTCTTGTATTTACAGTACATTGAGGTTCACTATTTCAACTGTTTCAGTTAACGGCTAGTTAATTTTATATTATATATATATGGAAAATTATGATTTATTTATTTGTTTGTTTGTTTCCATGTTTAGTTTAGATTTAAACTGACTAATAATAATAATAATAATAAACGTAATAATATTTAATAATAACTTGTAGTTTATATGTATAGTTTAGATTTAAACTTAGAAATAACTTTGTTTAATTCTTGCATTATATATGGTATTTATTCATTTTTCTATATTTTTAAAATTTTGGTAAATATAAAAAATATGCATGTTTTTAATACTAGGCTATATAATACAAAACTTTTTCATAATACATTTTAATATTATTTATTTAGTTTCATGTATAGTTTAGATTTAAACTTAGACATAACTGTTTGTATTCTTGCATTATATATGACATTACTTTTTGTAATTAAATTATGATTCCTGTATCTACAGTACATTAGATTTGTATATGGTTTGATGTTGCTTAAATTGATCTCTTTTTTCACTAGATCCTTTCTCGTCTTTTCTGTCTTCTTCACTTGTTTGTATAACACTCTTAAAAATAAAGGTGCTTAAAAGGTTCTTCAAGCAATGCCAAAGAAGAACCATTTTTGGTTCCACAAAGAACCATTCAGTCTAAGATTCTTTAAAGAACCATCTCTTTCTTACCTTTTTATAATCTGAAGGTAATTCTTCAGATGTTAAAGGTTCTTTATGGAACCATTTAGACAAAAAAGTTTCTTCTATGGCATCGTGAAGCACCTTTATTTTTAAGAGTGTATGTATTGACGTAGTTATTTATTTTGTTTACTATTATTTTTCCCGTCATGTGTCTGAACAAGTCCGTGTTGCTTCCAGGTGCTTGAACATTAAAATCGCGGCTCATTACAGTGAATTTCACAGATATGGACCCTCAGGTGCCCAAAGACAAGTGAGTTGAACATCAGTTAAAGGGATAGTTCACCCCAAAATGAAAATGTGATGTTTATCTGCTTACCCCCAGGGCATCCAAGATGTAGGTGACTTTGTTTCTTCAGTAGAACACAAATTATGATTTTGAACTCCAGCCGTTGCAGTCTATCAGTCGTATAATGCATGGCAATGGTAACAAAATCTATGAGAGTAAAAAAAACATGCACAGACAAATCCAAATTAAACCCTGCTGCTCGTGACGACACATTGATGTCCTAAGACACGAAACGATCGGTTTGTGCCAGAAACCGAACAGTATTTATATCATTTTTTACATCTAATGCACCACTATGTCCAACTGTCTTTGGGCGCGCTCACGGCATCTGGTGCGTGAGGTGTGTACGCGCTCTGGCGTAGTTTACGTTAATGGGTGTGTTGATATCCAGCCGAAGAGCAATCAACCATAACTTCAGGCGAGCAGGCTCAGAAGTTGGGAATACGTGGAAAGTCACCACTCCCGAATGAGTTCGCGCGAGAGAAAGTAATCTTTTAGTTTTAAGTCGGTTTGAACAATCCAGATAAGCGCAAGTAAGTACCATTTTGATTAGCCGACATCAAATTTTCATTTTGGGGTGAACTATCCCTTTAAAGGCTTGAATATCTCGCTCAGACTCAGACAGACAGATAACAAGAGCACAGGGGGTTTCTGCTGCTGAATATATGTCTTTATCTAGAGTCCCACCAGATGTGCAGAGGCATGTCTGAGCCAAATCATATCCTAAAAACTAAAAACAAAGGCTGATATCACAATTTACTGGGTATTCTGTAGTTTTTTTAGAAAGCTGTCTTTGTTCTGCTGCATCAAAAAACCCAGAAACCTGATGTGAAGATGTGAATCGCTTCAACAACAGCAGTCAAACATTCCTCTTCTCGTGACAGATATAATGGCGTGTGGTTGATTTTCTTCATGTTGGGGTTGGGAACGCTGCTGCCGTGGAATTTCTTCATGACAGCTACTATGGTAAGCACTTTACAACTTGCGTCACATATTTCGTGTGAAGTCGTACATCTGGGTTGGTTTTAGCCATAGAAATGCAGACCAGAAATGCAAAAGCAAAAACTACATCCTCAAAAAACAGAAGGTTTGCACCTCTCAAATCTGTTTATCTCACAGTATTTCACAAGTCGTCTGGCAGATCCTTCAAGTGAAGCGAATTTCTCAGTCAACGCGACTGAAGAAGACTCCCAGAGCGTCTTACAGGCCAAGTTTAATAATGTGATGACGCTGTGTGCGATGGTTCCTCTGCTGGTCTTCACCTGCCTCAACTCAGTGCTTCACCAGAGGTCAGACTCATTAACACATAGTGCAGAGGTTCAGCTAACTGTGGCCTTCTAGGGTCACTTTACATCCTGAAGTCAGAAACAAAATAAGAAATTAGTATGCATAAAAAGTGAAGCCTGTTTTAGGACAGTTTTTTACTTATTTATTTGAATAAATACATTTATTTGAATACATGTATACATTTATTTATTTGAATAATTTTTATATACTCGAATGGATATTTTTATTTAATTATTTGAATGTTTTTATTGATGCAAATATTTTTATTTGAATAAATATTTATTTAAATATATATTTTTATTGATTTAGCTAGATAACAATAAATAAACAAAACTATTCATTTAAATAAATCGATAAATATATTTACATAAATATTGTATTAATTTAAATAGATATTTGTATTTATTTAATTAAACACTTTTATTTTATTGATTTAAATATGTACTTTTATTGATTAAATATAATTTATTTATTCACTGGAATTAATATTTCTATTGATTTAAATGGATAATAAAAACTACTTTTTAAATAAATATTTTTATTTTTGTGCATACATTTTTTACTTATTTATAAATAAGTATTTTATTTATTATTATTATTATATTACTACTATTTTTTATTTATTTATTCACTCATTTATTTTTGCACATTGACATTATTTTAATGGCAATTAAACACAATTTCCCTTCAAATTCAATTTAACTCAAAATAAAACAACACAACAAAATAAAATTAAAAAAATACAAAAATAAAATAAAATAAAATAAACAATGCTTGGTTTTCTTTAAGGAAAATATAAATTCGTATTCTTTTCTTTTGGATTTTGCGGTAAATTCTGAGGCAAACCTGTTTTCGATCATTTTCGAGACTGTGATTGAATCTGCAGAATCCCTCAGAAGATCCGGATCGCAGGGAGTCTGACAGCCATTCTGGTGGTGTTTCTGCTCACCGCCATCCTGGTGAAAGTAGATTTGGATTCGCTGCCATTCTTCATCATCACCATGATCAAAATCATCTGCATTAACTGTGAGACGCTACAACAAATGCATTTCAACTTGCAGAAGCAGAATGGGTTGTGAATGTGATTTGATGTGATGTATTTGTGCTTTTCCCAGCGTTCGGAGCGGTTCTTCAGGGAAGTCTGTTTGGGATGGCCGGACTCCTGCCAGCGTCCTACACGACACCCATCATGAGCGGACAGGGACTCGCAGGAACCTTCGCTGCTTTTTCCATGATCTGTGCCATTGCCAGTGAGTCTGCAACTACAACACAATTACAGAACCACAAATCACTCCAGCTCAACGAGTCGTCACACTAATGCATCTATAATGGAAATCTATGGTGCTTTCCACGCAAAAAAACTCAAATCACACTTTTTAAATTGAAGAATAAATGTAAGCACCTAAAATACAAGCCTCACTTTTTCTAGGGTAATCATTTATAAATTCATAAATGCAAGTGACTTAAAAAGAAAAGAAATCTGGATTATATATATAATATATATAATTAAATATTTATTCATATTTATGTATATATATATATATATATATATACACTTCTGTGTAAATGTGTTTTCAGCAATAAAAAATCCTTTATTTACAGTTATATATATACTACCTCATTGTAATTTTGGTTGTAATTAAATTTATCAAAAACCAAATCAAAGTGAAAGTCATGTTCATATGAAGCTCATTTTCTCTCTCAGGTGGTTCTGCTATGCACGACAGTGCATTTGGATACTTCATCACAGCGTGTGTCGTTATTTCCCTTGCAATTGCATCGTATGCTCTACTTCCTAGACTGGTAAGAGTGGCTGGAAAAAACTGAAGCCGTTGATTTAAAGCTTTAAACATTTACAGTCTAATTGCTGTTTTTTTTTTCTGTAGGCATTTTTTCAGTACTATCTGGAGAGTCAGCAGAGCAAACCAGCTGAGGATGAGGAGAACAAGATGGATCTGCTGAAGAAAGGTGACGTCATGAAAATTCAAATCAAAACCTGGCTGAATATCAATCAAAACCCTGTTTTAAAGTTGAGCTGTCTATAGATGAGCAGCAGAAGAGCGCTGGAGACGACGACAAACAAACACCATCAATACTGGCCATCTTTAAGAAGGTAAACACACATTAAAATCAACAGCTGCATAGCAACAACACTCAGAACACCTTAGCAACTGCATAGCAACAACACCCAGAGCACCTTGGCAACTGCACAGCAACAACAATTATAAACTCCTTGGCAACTAGATAGCAACAACACCCAGAAAACCTTGGCAACTGCATAGCAACAACACGCAGAACACCTTAGCAACTGCATAGAAACAACACTTACAAACACCTTAGCAACTGCACAGCAATAACACTTTAAAAACACCTTGGCAACTGCATAGCAACAACACACCGAATACATGGCAACTGCAAAGTAACAACACTTATAAACTCCTTGGCAACTAGATAGCAACAACACCCAGAAAACCTTGGCAACTGCATAGCAAAAACACGCAGAACACCTTAGCAACTGCATAGCAACAACACTTACAAACACCTTAACAGCTGCACAGCAACAACACACTGAACACATGGCAACTGCAAAGCAACAACACACCAAACACATGGCAACTGCTAAGCAACAACACACCGAAAACATGGCAACGGCAAAGCAACAACGCGCAGAACACCTTGGCAACTGCACAGCAACAACACACCGAACACATGGCAACTGCAAAGCAACAACGCACAGAACACCTTGGCAACTGCACAGCAACAACACACCGAACACATGGCAACTGCAAAGCAACAACGCACAGAACACCTTGGCAACTGCACAGCAACAACACACCGAACACATGGCAACTGCAAAGCAACAACGCACAGAACACCTTGGCAACTGCACAGCAACAACACACCGAACACATGGCAACTGCAAAGCAACAACGCACAGAACACCTTGGCAACTGCACAGCAACAACACACCGAACACATGGCAACTGCAAAGCAACAACGCACAGAACACCTTGGCAACTGCACAGCAACAACACACCGAACACATGGCAACTGCAAAGCAACAACGCACAGAACACCTTGGCAACTGCACAGCAACAACACACCGAACACATGGCAACTGCAAAGCAACAACGCACAGAACACCTTGGCAACTGCACAGCAACAACACACCGAACACATGGCAACTGCAAAGCAACAACGCACAGAACACCTTGGCAACTGCACAGCAACAACACATCGAACACATTGGCAACTGCACAGCAGCAACACTTTTAAACACCTTGGCAACTGCATAGCAACAACACCCAGAACACCTTGGCAACTGCACAGCAACATCACTTATAAACACCTTGGCAACTACATAGTAACAACACCCAGAACACCTTGTCAACTGCACAGCAACAACACTTAGAACACCTTAGCAACTGCACAGCAACAACACTTATAAAACACCCTGGCAACTGCATAGCAATAACACTTACAAACACATTGGCAACTGCATAGCAACAACACCCAGAACACCTTGGCAACTGCACAGCAGCAACACTTTTAAACACCTTGGCAATTGCATAGCAACAACACCCAGAATGCTTTAGCAACTGCATAGCAACAGCACTTACAAACACCTTAGCAACTGCATAGTAGCAACACCCAGAACACCGTGGCAACTGCACAGTAACAACACTCAGAGCACCTTGAAAACTGCATATCAACACCCTAGCAACCGTCCACAACCATTCTCAGGATTGTGTCGGTGAGTTTTGCACAGGCGAAAGTGTGAGTGTTCTTGTATTTCTCTCGTCAGATCTGGGTTATGGCATTCTCTGTGTGTTTCGCCTTCACCATCACCATCGGCACGTTTCCCGCCATCACTGTGGACGTTAAATCTACTATTGCTGATGGTGGAAAGTGGGGTGAGAGTTCAATGAGTCTGACTCTTTACAATTCACAGTCTGATAATGAGTCTGATTATTATGGAAGCTTATTTTTGGAATAAAATAAAAAGAGGTGATTGTAACTTTTTATACCACAAATCTTGTTTTTATATATATATATATA